GGATGTTTTTTATTCTGTCATTTAATAAGGTTTTTTTTTGGTGAGGTATTGTGAAGGGTAAAATTTAAACATTTGAAGCTTGGCCTCTTTACCAAAGTCCCTTAGTTAGAAGGAATTCTGTTTGGTACTGTGTATGAGTTTTTTTAAAGCTTACACTAGGTTTTATTTTATGGGCAAGAATTATAAAGAATCATAACGTATATCAATCAAGGCCCAGAAGGAACATTTATTTAACTGAATGCTTCTGCGACTTTTTTTTTTTTTTTTTTTTTTTTTTTGAGACAGAGTCTCACACTGTCCTCAAGGCTTGGAGTGCATGGCACGATCTTCGTGCTCACTGCAACGCTCCTGCCTCCCAAGCTTCAAGCGATTTCTCCTGCCTCAGACCTTCCTGAGTAGCTGGGATTATTAGGCATGGCGCCCACACGCCCTGGACTAATTTTTGTTTATTTTAGTAGAGACAGGGTTTTCTCCCATGTTGGTTCAGGCTGGTCTCAAAAACTCTGACCTCGTGATCGCCGCCATCTGGCCTTTGATCCGCCCGCCTCGGCCTCCCAAAGTGCTGGGGTTACAGGTGTGAGCCACCACACCTGGCCACTTCTGGAACTTTTTAAAAATCTTGAACTTATCCTGTAGTTTCATGTAGTATTCCTTTCCCATCACCAAATGACATTAAAGCAGGATCAGCCGGGTGCTGTGGCTCACACCTGGAATCCCAGCATTTTGGGAGGCAGACGTGGGCAGATCACCTGATATCAGGAGTTTGAGACCAGCCTGGCCAACATGGTGAGACCCCATCTCTACTAAAAATACATAAATTAGCCAGGCGTGGTGGCGCACACCTGTAATCCCAGCTACTGGGGAGGCTGAGGCAGGAGAATTGCTTGAACCCGGGAGGCCGAAGTTGCAGTGAGCCAAGATCATGTCACTGCACTCCAGCCCTGGAGACAGTGTGAGACTACCAACTGAAAACATTAAAAATAAATAAATAAAAATAAAGAAGGATTATGGCTCACATGTGCAAAGTAATAAATATAGGATTATATTTATAAGTTAGCACTTTGCCAAATGCTATGGGGGACACAAGGAAATAGAATAGAACAAATGGCCATCTCTTCCAAGAAGCTTAGTTTCTCTGTAACAGGATAGGATATTGACAATGGAAAGTTAATCAACATGACAGTTTAAAAACAAGGTATTTCATGGACAGGTCTTTAATTTGAAAAATACAAGGTAATAATACAAGTGATATCTGAGCCCTGGCCCTGTACCTGAGGTATGGCCCAGTACAGTGATTAATTGAATGATTAAACAAATAATTACTGTAGAAATTCAGAAGATAAATTAACCTAGATGTAGTAGTCAGTGATGATCAAGTGGAGAAAGAGATCGAACATGGAACTGGGGCGTCTTGAGCTGGTTAGGATTTAGGACCCTGTGCCTATGATGACTTCCTACATTATATCACATCCTGGATGTTGGATAATGTGATAAGGAGACAACCTAGTTTCAGGAAATGGAAAATAATTGCTGTATCTAGCTTGAAGTATCTACCCCCACAACCCAGCTTTCAGAGCCTACAGGTGCAGTTGCCACTGACTCTTCAAAACTTGCTTATGATACTCAGACCAGCATCCTCATATTCCCCAGTTAAGCTCACATATTTTATCAGAGAGAATAGTGTTTGTTGAACTTGCTTAAATTGATTTTGTTTTTACTCGTATATGAATAAATAGATGTATAGTGAATTCTGGGATAGTTTGGTACTGGAGTTCTCTGCCTGCTCTGTGGACCCTGTTAGGTACCCCTGAGAAAAGGATAAGTGGTGGTGAGAGGGCTGGGTGATTTTGTAGTGTTTTTTGTTTTTTTCGTCTTTGAGATGGAGCCTCTCTCTGTCACCCAGGTTGGAATGCAGTGGCAGGATCTTGGCTTACTACTGCCTCTGCCTTCTGGGTTCAAGCAATTCTCCTGCCTCAGCCTCCTGAGTAGCTGGGATTACAGGCATGTGCCACCATGCCTGGCTAATTTTTGTATTTTTTAGTAGAGATGGGATTTCACCATGTTGGCCAGGCTGGTCTCAAACTCCTGACCTCAAGTGAGCCTCCCGCCTCAGCCTCCCAAAGTGCTAGGATTACAGGAGTGAGCCACTGCACTCAGCCAGGATTTCATAGTTTAAAAAGTCTTCCTTAAAATCAAAACAACAAATCTGGTTGTTGAGTGGCATTTGTAGGAAGAGATTCTTTCAAATACTGTATTGTTGGTGACATTTCTGATGCTGGCTGTCAACCAAATTTTAAAATTGTTTGTGGGTGGAATAATTTCATTACTTTTTTGTGGATAAACCTGTGGGGAAAGGTTTTGATGTTATTTTCAGGCATATGTTTTCTTGGCATATACATAGTTAATTTAACAATATTGAAATATTTTATAAAACAGATTGTAAAATTATACATTTTCTAAATATAACAGATCAATTACTTTCAAGTTAGAATCTTCTAGTAATTTTGAGTGTGTGTGTTCTTATTTTCTGTGCAGTTGAGAAAGATTGGGGGTGGGGGCTTTGGAGAAATTTACGATGCCTTGGACATGCTCACCAGGGAGAATGTTGCACTGAAGGTGGAATCAGCTCAACAACCAAAACAAGTTCTGAAAATGGAGGTTGCTGTTTTGAAAAAGCTGCAAGGTAAGCCCTTTGTAGAATATACAATTTATGATTTGTATGATAATTTATAATTTATTTGTATCTTCCTGAACCTTAATTACATTCTTTAAGTACTAATTGAATGTACTGGTGTCAGCCGGGTATAAATATGCTGAGCATTTTTCTCTTGGAAATTTTATAACTAGTTAGTAGTAGTAGAAATATGTAATTACTTAGAATAATTGGGCTTTGGGAGTTCCTTTTCATGGAGTAAGGATGAGAGAGTGTGAATTAGCAGAATTTTTACTGCTTTGGAAAGTATTGTCGTAAGTCTGCTATTTGCCTTTCTTTTTTAAACTACCAATAACAAATGCCTCTGAGTTGTCTCTACTCATGTCTTTGGATGTTAAATGTGTTTTAATCACAGTAAGGAAGCTGCCTTCAAATCACACTGCAGGATGGATTAAAAATAATACTGTTGATTATGTGTTGATTCATATTAACTTCAGTTTCAGAGAGTAACTGTTTCTGGCCCTGTTGTCATTTTTGAAGTCCATTTTACTACTTGGGCCCCATTTGTTTTTATTATAAAAATGAATAATTTTTTTTCTAACATGAATCCAGTGGTATAAAACCCTGAATACATTGCTAGTTTGTGTTCACCTTTGTATTCTCAGCTTAATGACATACTGTCTGGTATTACTTATATTTAAATGTTTGATCTGAAACAAAATTAAATAGGGATGATCATTTTCCTTTGACCCAGGCATATCCAAGTTTCTCTACCAGTTGACTCATTTGATTAGAGAATGATGCTAGTAAAATTATAGTTCTGGTTTTATAGTCATTTTTAGCTCAAACTTAGCTTCTCCACAACATGGTAAATCAGGAAAACAGTGGATAGATTAGCACCCATTGTCAATACTAGAAAAATAAATAATTGGAGAAGAAAGAATAGGTAAAAGGATGGCTCTCTCTTTTTCTGACCTTTTCTATTTTCTCCCCATTTCTCTTGAGTTGTTGTTCTCAACTCAATGGTGTAGAGGCTGCACACAGGTACAGCCAGACCTACGTCTTCCTGGGTTGCACAGATCCTAGGATACCTGTGTTACTCTCAGCCAAGCCCATGAAGGGTATGTCAGCATCAGCTTGGTGTGGATAGTGCCACTTCACCTTTCTCCTACTTGGCCCCAAGGAGATGCTTCCAGGTGAGGCAGGATACAGCTTTGCTGCCCCTTCAGGAGGTTCTCCTGCTTAATTTGACTATGGTTTACTCAGGATTCTATTTTATAAAGCTTGAAGATCAGTTTAGTACCTTTTATGAATGAGTTAGAGACCCTTGGATGCTAGCTCTCTCCTTTTCTTGTATTTTATTTTTTATGTTATTAACTAAAATATTTTTCCTATCTGCTTATAAACGCATGACATCTCATTCTTAAGAACCCTTCACTTTCCAAAAATAAATTGATTTTTAATCTTCTGGTCCCTATTTCAGTGAGGCAGTCCTTGACTCTCTTCTCTTGGCCTCCTAACTTATGCCTTCTGCATACTTATTCCTCACAACTTCATTTTGTTGAGGGTGCTTTGTAATCTGGACCATTCTGATAACATTTTTATGGGGCTGAGCTGCTCTTGCTGTCATGTTGGCATAATGACTTCTTACTGAATGATCCCAATGAAAAGGCTGAGTGTAAGGAAAAGGTATTTAACCAGAGGCTAACCCTTTATAGGATTAGTTAATTTTTAAATTGATGTTCAATTTTTGATAGCTGGGATACGGGTTTTTTTTTTTTTTTTTTTTTTTTTTTTTTTTTGAGTCAGAGTCTCGCTCTGTCACCAGGCTGGAGTGCAGTGGCACGATCTCAGCTCACTGCAACCTCTGCCTCTGGGTTCAAGCGATTCTCCTGCCTCAGCCTCCCTAGTAGCTCCGACTGCAGGCACACGCCTCCACACCCAGCTAGTTTTTGTATTTTTAGTAGAGACGGGGTTTCACCATGTTGGCCAGGGTGGTCTCAATCTTTTGACCTCATGATCTGCCCACTTCAGTCTCCCAAAGTGCTGGGATTACAGACATGAGCCACTGCGCCTGGCCGGGATTTTTTTTTTTTTTTAACAAGATAAAAAGATATTTTATGATGAATTAGCCCGACCCCTAATTCTGTTCCTTTTAATCAATTCCTCTTCTCAAAATTCATATACTGCCTGCTCTCACATTCCCTCAGTTCTCAATTTTCTTTCTCAGTCTTTTCTGTACTTAACAACCCTAGATTTTCTCAGTTTAGGCAAAACTCTCATTAATAGTATGTTCCTTTCTCTTTGACCCTAAAGTGTGAAGGCCTTAGCATTTCACCCTATATTTTCTTCTGAGTGACCTTCCCCCATGCTGCTGTATCACATTACTGTCTTTTCAAAGCTTTCTGAAATATTCTGGATGTAACCTGCAATTCTCCAATGAATCAAGCTAGACTCTTGAATTTTTTTTTTTTTTTTAGTTGGAGTCTTGCTCTATTGCCCAGGCTGGAGCGCAGTGGCACGATATCAGTTCACTGCAACCTCTGCCTCCCAGGTTCAAGCGATTCTCCTGCCTCAGACTCCCAAGTAGCTGGGACTACAGGTGGGTGCCACCACGCCCAGCTGATTTTTTGTAGTTTTAGTAGAGATGGGGTTTCACCATGTTGGCCAGGCAGCTAACTCCAAACTTCAGACAATCCTCCCATCTTGGCTTCCCAAAGTGTTGGGATTACAGGCATGAGCCACCGCACCTGGCCAAGACTCTTGAATTTTACTTGGTTTTCACAAATGTATTTTAATGTTTATTTACTTATAAACTAAATTATTTATTAGCCTATTAGGTAGTACTTCTATACCTATTATTATTATTATTCTCTAAAGTGTTCCTAATAAGTAGAGCCATAAAACTTATTAAGCCTATCCTTTTATTCACAGTATTGTTCAGAGATACATCTCTGTATAAACATTTATGTGTGTCTCTTCCCCCTCTCCGTTTGCAGCTGTATTATCTTCATCCTCTGTTTTTCAGTTTATTTGCTTTGAAACTGTGCAAAGGTGGTCATTGCCATTCTAATCTGTTAGATTCCTTTTTCTTCCACTTTAAATGATTGTTTTATAATGATATCCTACCTGTCTTCACTTCTCCATTTTCTTTTTTTATTAAAAATTTTTTTTGTTGTTTTTTTCCTCAGTTTTCATGATCTCTTGTGCTGTATCTCAACACACCAATTTTTGTTATTGTTGTTGTTGTTGTTGTGTTGTATTTTCTTTTTAATAAGTATAGTTTAGGCCAGGCGTGGTGGCTCATGCCTGTAAACCCACCACTTTGGGAGGCCAGGGTGGGTGGATCGCCTGAGGTCGGGAATTTGAGACCAACCTGGGCGACATGGTAAAACCCCATCTCTACTAAAAAATTCAAAATTTAACCAAGCGTGGTGGCATGTGCCTGTCATCTCAGCTACTCTGGAGGCTGAGGTATAAGAATCTCTTGAGCCCAGTAGGCGGAGGTTGCAGTGAGCCAAGAAGGTGCCATTGCACTCTAGCCTGGGCAACAGAACCAGACCCTGTCTCAAATAAAAAAGTATAGATTTACAGTGCCACTGTAAGAGAAAAAAAACTTCTGTCCTTTGATTTCAAATCTGATCATTAGTCATTTCTATAGTGAAATGATGGTTCCTCAGGAACCATCAGTACTTCTAAAAAAGTTAGATTTCCATTCTAGTCTTAATAGAATTTGGTACACGTCTAGAATCCTGAGAAAGATGAAGACCTAAGCAGGCGATCATTATTTTATTTAGTTTATTTATCTGTTCGCCGCAGGCTGGAGGTGCAGTGCCCAAACACAGCTCACTGCAGCCTGATCTGTGGCTCAACCAGTCCTCGGGCCTCAGCCTCCCAGGATATAGCTGGGGACCGCAGGGTGTGCCACCACACTCGCTAATTTTTTTTTTTTTTTTTGTAGAGACATAGAGGTCTAGCTATGTTGCGCCAGGCTGATCTCAAATTCCTGGGCTCAAGCGGTCGTCCTTGCCTCGGCCTCCCAGAATGTTGGAATTAAAGATGTGAACCACCACACCCAGCCTGAGACAGGCAAATATTAAATTTTCTTTTTTCTCTAATTTTTAAAATACTTTTTAAAAAAGACAGTTTTAGGTTCACAGCAAAATTGAGAGGAAAGTATAGAGGTATCCTACATATTGCCTGCCCTCTCACATGTATGTACTCCCTCAGTATCATCATCCCCCACAGCTGTACATTTGTTACAATTGATGAACCTACATTGATACGTCATTATCACCGAGATCCCATAGTTTTACAATAGGATTCACTCTTATTGAACATTCTGTGGGTCTGGATGAATGTGTAATGACATATATCCACCATTATGTGTATACAGGTGCTCCTCAACTTATGATGGGGTTATGTTCTGATAAACCCGTTTAAGTTGAAAAATTGTAAGTTGAACCATTGTATGTCAGGAACCATCTCTCTCTCTTTTTACTGCCCTAAAAATCCTGTGTGTAGTCTCTGTTTCCCTGCCTCCTAAACTCTGGTGATGACTAATCTTTTTACTTTCTCTTTAATTTTGCCTTCTCCAGATGTCATATATTTGGAGTCATACATTTATTGGCTTCTTTCATTTAGTAATGCGCACTTAAGTTTCCTCCACATCTTTTCATGGCTTGATAGGTCATTTTTTTAAACATTTAATAATATTCCATTGTCTAGAGGTACTACAGTTCATTTATCCATTCACCTAATGAGGGATATCTTGGTTGCTGTGCAGATTTTTGTGTGGGAAAAGTTTTCTACTTGTTTGGGGAAATACCAAAGAGCATTGTTGCTGGATTTGATAATAAGAGCGTGTTTAGTTTTATAAGAAACTGCCAAATTTTCTTCCAAAGTGGCTGTATCATTTTGCATTCTCATCAGCAGTGAATGAGAGTTCCACATGCTCACCAGCATTTGGTATTGTCAGTGTTCTAGATTTTGGTCATCTAACAGGCGTGTAGTGACATCTCATTTTCATTAATTTGCGTTTCTCTAATGATGTGTGATGTGGAGCACTTTTTCATGTGCTTATTTGCCATGTGTATATCTTCTTTGGTGGGGTGTCAGAAGTGTTTGACCGATTTTAAAATCAGGTGGTTTGTTTTCTTATTGTTGAGTTTTTAGAATTATTCAAATATTTGCATATCAGTCTTATATAGGTCTTTTGCAAATATTTTGAATTTTCTCTATTGATTTTCTATGTTTAATTTGATTGATTTCTGCTCTAATTTTTATTATTTCTTCTCTTCTGCTTTAATTTGCTTTCTAGTTTCCTAAAGTAAAAACTTTGGTTATTGATTTTAGATCTTTCTTTTCTACTACATGCACTCAGTGCTATAAATTTCCCTTCAAGCACCGTTTTCAGTGCATCCCAGAAATTTTGATGTTATGTTTTATTTTTATTCAGCATGAAATATTTTAAAACTTCTTGTGATAGTTCTTCTTTGACTCATGTGTTTAGAAGTGCGTTGTATTAATCTCCATGTATTTCAGAATTTTTCCAGTTGTCTTTCTAATATTGATCTCTAGTTAAATTCCACTGTGTTCTGAGAGCAGACATTGTATGATTTCTATTATTTTGTTAGGGTATATTTTATAGCACTCAGAATGTGGTCGGTCTTGGTGAATATTCTGTATGAGCATGAGAATAATGTGTATTCTGCTGTTGTTGGCTTAAGTAGTCTGTAGATGTCAGTTATATCTAGTTAATTGATGGTATTGTTTAGTTCAGCTGTGTCTTTACTGATTTTCTGGCTGCTGGATCTGTTCATTTCTGACAGAAGAGTTTTGAAGTCTCCAGCTATAATAGTGCATTCATCTTTCTCCTTACAGTTCTATTGTTTTTTACCTCATGTAGTTTGAAGCTCTATTGTTAGATGTATGCATGTTTCTAGATATTATTAGGCACATAGTATATGGCTTCTTAGAGAATTGACCCCTTTATCATTACGTAATACTCTTGTTATTATTACTATTAATTTTCTTGGGGCTGTACTCACTAGGTTGTTCAGGCTGGTCTTGAACCCCTGACCTCAGTGATCCTCCTGCCTCAGCCTCCTGAATAGCTGGGATTACAGGTGCAAGCTACTGTGCTTGGCTATGATGCCCTTCTTTATACTTGTCAATTTTTTTTACATGGATCCTG